GCCACCGCTTTGAATTCTTTCTTTTTACTGAGTATGATTGCACTCTCAATAAGCATGAACAATCTAAATATGATAAATTTTTACTTTATTACATTTCAGATACACGCAGGAATTCCCTCACCCCTATTGTTCAAGTAGTTAGGACTTAGCAAAACTGTTGAATAAAAATTATATCCATCACATCAAGTATTTTGTATTTCAAATATACATAATCCTTAATTCGAACAACAATAGGAAATAATCACACTGGTTTATTGGCAGTTATGTGAACTTCACACGACGATACGTATGAATGGCTGCATTGTTTTAGTCACAGTATGTGTCATAACACAATGGCATAAGGTTTCAAGAATTGTCAATTTTTTTAAAATTTTTGCTGCTAGAACAGCAGCAGCTATCTAAAGATCCGTCATTCGAATTAGCGAATAAGATCGACGTAATAAGTGGTTATCTGAGATTAAATATAAATGATTTTAATGACAGATGTAGATTTCAGTAGTTCGAGAAAACAGGTGAATAGATCAGTTGAAGTAAATAGTTTTAGGCAATGAACCAGACAACACGAACAACAGTTTCTTTAACAAAGGGAATTAAATCTAAAAATAAGGTTATGAATGAAAAGTGTTTTGGTAAGAGAAAATAAATGAATGTGTGCCTATAATACTGATATTTATGGAGGTTAATCACATGCGAAGACAAGGACTTCGATCACTCCCTAATAATACTCTGCCTTATTAAACATAAGGATAGATGAATATCGCATGAAACTTTGATTCAGAGTTTCAATGCCAACCACAATCCAGCTTTACAGCTAGAGCATATGAATATATACACTTAGAGTCATTCATACACATTGAACAAAATGTTCAGATTGATTGTCAAGGCAAATCGAGAATATTAGAAACGAGGTAATACAAGTGTTTTGTAACAATTTGTAGTGATTTACTTTTCCGGAATATTTTTATCCACACTACTCTTTGTACGTCAACTGAATGAGACATGCTGAAATCACATGTGTAGACTGAATATATATATAGGTATATATGTTATAACGTGTGAATGCGCGCGCCCTGTTAGTATATGAACGTGCTGATCTTCGCCAATCAGAGAGGAGCGGATTATCGATCAGAGCAATGATACATAAAATCGTACGAACAGTCTTGATTACTTGCCAGTCCTGCTTTCTGCCTAGCCTACCAGTTAAGTCCAGAACACCAATAACAGCCACGGCAATATGAGTCATTATTTACAAACATACTGGGTTTATTTACCAACCAAACAGACCACATCGACCATAAAATAGCAAATAACATTTGTACAGTTATTGGCCAAATGTTGTTGTGAATTAAGGAGAAGGAAATCAATAATAATAGTTCAAAGGTCAAAATAAAGCTAATGATAAGAGGAACACGAATATGAATAGTTTAGTTACGTAACAATTATATAATAGGAAATAGACATAATACATTGGTTCATAAATAGTCTTCAAGAGTTGCCAATCACAATTCTCTTTGGGATGCAACAATATATATATATCCAGAGAGAGAGGTACCAATTTCACTATTTGTTATCTACCAACTGAGTTTATCAGCTCACCGTTTTCGTGTTTTGTCATATTTACTACTTGCGAATATATAGTAGTTTAAAAATAACAGACCAATTCTCTGTTAGACAACATTCTCTACACCTTCTCGACAAAATGATCTGCATGTCGACTCATTTGAGGATGTCGAGAAGCAGAGTGGAGACGCGTTATTCCATTCACACTATAAAGTTCGAGGTGAATTGTGAGCCATCGTTGGTCACTGAGTAGAGTTTCTCCAGGGTCTAGCAAGTTTAGGCAATTGTTGTGGTTCTCATTTCTGATGGTTTTCAGTAGCTTATATGGGGAAGATGAATAATTACAACATATGAACGAATAATATTCTTTCAGTAATTTCTCATCATATTCTAAAATTATAAATCCAAATTAATAATTGGCCACATTTAAGGCAGAGTACATCATTTAACAAACTATAACATGTGAATTAAGGATTGTTTGTCGTATCAAGTCAAATCAAATCGTTATTGTTTCGGTGACTAATACACAAAACCCCTTCTGATTATAATACCAAGTATTAACTTGAATCAGTTCATTAGTGAAATGATATGGTGAGATAAATGATGATCAGAATGAATATAGTTGACATTGGGTGATTGAGAACAAAGGAATTACAAAACATAAATTAAGGAATATGTAGGATAATATGTATTAGGTCAGATATAGTAAATAGGGATGGATGCCGAATAAATTTATCTACAAAGTTAGCAAATGTAGTAATAATAATGATAAAAATGACAGTGGTAAGATGTGTAGATAAGATAAGTTGAGGATATAAAAATGAGCATTAATCAAATTACGTCACCATATTAAAAAATTGACTATTAACAAGTTGACCCTGAAGGAGCGGCTGAAAATATTTCTTTTGAATGTAAAGCTCTGACCTTCTGATCCGAATTGCGATTGCCTCAGCCACCTGCAGGATTCTCAGTCTGATGAAATTAGATAGACTGGTATTAACACGATCTATTATTGTTAAACACTGCTCCATGTTGGCTGTATCTCCCGTCTGAATTGATTAGGTTAAAATGGAATTGTTAACTGTTTCAACTACACCTTTGCTTAACCACACTGGGAGGTGCTCACGAGCCCGAATATACAAATTCCTAGAACATTTGCCTATATAATGTGCTACACAGGAGCAGTTGAATTGATAGATACAGAAAGAAGTGGCTATTTGTATGTTGGAGAAATGGCCGTGAAACACCTAGTGGTTCCTCATAGCCGATTAGACAAACGAGGCCATTTGATTAGTGTTACTATATTTTTTATAAAGGACTTCATTGAACACTCAATGTACGGCCTACATCTTTCGCAAGTTAATTGAAGGTTACTGGACTGCTGTTCGTGAGAATGTCCATCACAGGCCAACCTTTCTGGTAAGTAATGTGCTATTCATATTGTAAACTTAGATGATTACGCCAAATTGAAAGCTTACATCATGTTGCTTCTTGGACTTTGTGATTACCAATCAGATGAAGATAATTGTCTTTTGAAATTCTTCTTCACAACTGTTGATCAAATGAATTTGTCCACTCGCTTTTTGCACAGCCGTCAAGTGAAACTGCTGATGGAAGTGCATTGAACTTTTGACCATGCGAAGCAATGTTTCATATGTTTTGTGCTTACGATGCATCACCACACGTCCATGGAGTTTATTGTCCCATTGTTGTTTTTACATTATTTCCATTGTTATTCTTGCCTTTTCATAACCCCCATCTCTTGTCTAGTTGACCTTTTATTTTTATGTATAAATCTTCTTCACAAGTATATTACATATGATCAGATTGCTCAAAATGTGTTGTGTTAAAATATATCTGTTGGGATGATCCTGAAAATTTCTCGAAATAGACATGACAAGCTCAGGAAACATTAAGGAGCATTTTATCCAATCAGTGTTTTACTAGACGTTTTGATAGAAATATTGCGAAAATGAAAAGTCACATGTAGAGGTCCTGATCAGCTGATTACTTCACTGCTACTATGTTAAGTAACATTCTGGGATTCTCAGGAAAACCCAAGGACTTCTAAAATACTATAAAAACCCTATATTTTCTGTACATAAATGGACCTATGGAGTAAAGTGGTTCTCGTATATTTTGCGCCTTTTCTCTCATGTTTAAGTGTAGTTCTAGCTTGAGGGTTACAAGAATAGCTTATGGCACGAATATAGCGTTCAATCAACAAGACATCAGTGGCGACGGGAAAAACTACAATAATTAAGGCTTATCAATATCACATAGTGATGATAATCTTCATCTTCTTATTACACCATCGGAATTTATCGAGGAGACTAAGTGCTTCAAAATAATCCAATAGAAATTTATTATTGAATTAATAAGATCACGAAGTTTTAAAAACATTGTGTTTGTGTATGTTACGAGTATATTGAGAATGGATATGAAGATGGATTAATCACAATAACTTTTGTTTTTGTTGCTCAGTGAACTAGTGTAGTGAATGAGAACACCAGTAGGGACAACCGAATGTATTCGAACATAAAATCACAGAATCTCTTAGTAAACTCTGAGAACCATACAGTAAACGCTTCATTTGCGAAATATCAATGAATTGTGTCAGACTTGATTGTTCTCGTTCTCTTTTCTTCGATTTTCTTGACCTTCAGCCACCAGGCATTTCACTTTCAAATCATGATATATACTACTTATATCTGTCGACATCAGTAACACACTATATAGTATGGAGGTATTAGTCAACTTATTGACACTCTTCATACAAGTATACTAAAATTTATTGATGCTCTAAAAAAGAGATGGAGTCTCAATGGACTTAAAACCAAATAGTCTGTTTCAGTAACTCAACAAATCAACTTAAATAGATAGTATAAGGAAATAACAGTACATATCAAACTGATTGCAGATGATTAAGAAACCAGATTGACAGTAGACTATCTAAATAGAATTACACTTCCCTTTTTAATTTTAAAAGAAAGTCGTGTTTCGAGGATTTAAAACTTATTGAATGTAAAATTCAACAACCATAATTAAATAACTATTCTAGATATCTTCAGTGAATACCTTTTATTATAACACTTGACTATAAAACGCAAAGTATTTACCCAGTTGGAATCACAAGTCGATCTAAGCTAGACCACCATTGAAAACCCAGAAGCAATGGACATTCATTTCATCCTGGTATTTGACTCGTCAACAGTATACATTCACAATCCCGTACACGAGAATTGATTCCAGGACCTTCAGTACATGTTCGAAGCCTAATCTCTACATCAGTAAACCGGAATCCAACAATGTTATTGTCTAACTTCAATTCATCCATCATCTTGTACAACTCTTTATCCATTGCTTGTTATGGTTAACTGTCTTCTATACAACACCGACCACACTGAACTGATCACGGTTTCTCATTAGAACTCCAGGGGTATTAGCATCAAATAAATATATAAGAAAACAAAACAATATTAGATCTATTGTACAATTCAACACGTTCTTTCTTCACATTATGTATACAAACTAGAATACAAATACTTAACTAAATGAATCAGTTACTATTTCAATGATCATCATGTTATGTTTCGTTTTATTGACCACATTCAATTAAGAAAATATCCAGACAAACGTATCCTAACAATCATATCTCTTTAGTTAAATGCTAGAAATTCAAATAGAAGCAGACCTTTTGAATCTATTCAATGAACTACCAATAATTCGAAGTGGGCGAAGAAAAAGAACCCAGAAGAAAACAGGAGACAAACTACCAAATCACATAACAATAATGAGCATGAAAAGAAGAGAGAAAAACTTGATGGAGAGCTATTTCATCATTCAATTCAGTGATGATAATTTATTCTTTTTCTCTCGCTCTCTCTCTCGCTGTCTATGTGGTCGTACTTTCATAAAAAGGATCATCTAAGAGGAATTAGGAATTATGAGTTTGTGAATTAACATGGTAAATAAAATTAAAAAAGAGAAAGAGAAAGGTTGAACAATGTAAATGCGTTCACTTTAGAAGTAAATTGATGAAATGGGTGAAGTTTTCTTTCTATGGAAATGCTTCTTCTCTTTGGATAATATCATACTAACTGATGACTGTGTGTGTATATATATGTGGAGGGGGTGGATTAAATCCTTCATTCATTATGTCCCATATCTTCATCATCCTTTATATTGTCAATTTCTAGTTCCGGTACACGATGACCCAAAATATCTTTTAATGTGAATTCTTTGCCAAGTTCTTTAATTTTAGGATTTGTATAAAATTCATCATTTTGGACAGTAATACTGTCTTCTTGTTCTCCTTCTTCTTCTCCTCTTTCTTCATTTTCCATATCTATATTATAGAGTGATTGTTCAAGTTGAATATCACCACCATCATTATTATCATTATCATCGTAGTATTCATGGTACTCGTTATCATCCTTTTTCAATTTCCTAATCTCATTGAAATTATCATCATTCTCCGAAATTCCACTACCAGATTGAGTAGAACTGCTGTTTGAATCAATGTTGAAATTATTCAGTTTACGATACAATCCAAACTGTAGTGATTAAAAATAGAATGTAAATGAATTAATTAGCATTGATATGCAAAAGAGGACAGTGAGTAGAAGAATTTAGGTAGCTAAATAACAGTTTTCAGTCGTTTACGGGTGTCTAGATACAAAAATAATAAGTTACTTCATTTTATATCCTCTGTGTGTATCAACTAATTTAGGTTGTCTTTTGAAGAAACCTAAATCAGACAACCTATCTGAGTGTCTTCCAGTCTCATGTGGAAAGAATAAGTGAAAAACAATACCTTGTTCCATTCGGTCACACATGATCAACAATGCTCACGTGCTTAATAAATCTCAATCATTTGAAATAATCTAAAGTATACCCTTTTTGTGTCTGAACTTTCATTTGTGCATAAAAACACTACTGATTATTAGAACAGAACATGATAAGAATCTAACTTGTAACAATGCTGTTCAGTGATGAACTATTGAAGGCATACATCAAAAGAATGAATCGCAATTGGAAACAATTGGAAAGGATAGCTCAAGACAGAGTTGGTTGTAGGTCTCTGGTTGGCAGTCCTAGCAGTCGATGTCAATAAGATTACCACTAACAATTCTCTTACTAAAAGCTTATTATTCTACAATTTACTCTTTTTCTTTCTGAAAGACAGTGAAGATAGAAAACAAAACGACAAGTTAACTGAACACCAACTTTTGTCACGATTTTCATGTATGGTTTGATCAGTGATAGCCGAAACAGGAGAAATGTTTCATCAAATAGAAGAGAAACTATTATCGAATGGAAAAAGATTGACGATGAGTGGTACGTAGTTTTGTAGAACTCAATACTCGTTGAAAAACATTTTGTCAGTATATACATGATGTGGGAAGCATTAAAAGAATGATAAAACTACTAAGAACTGATAGAATTCCTTCATGTTGTATTGATTATTTGAATCTTTAAATTGATGTTTAGGAATGCAATTGATCGGAATAATTTTGATGAATGTCGTTATTTCATAAACATTTGTGGACAAAGGCAATCTATTAAGGTTCTTAATATCAATGTGTAGATTCAAACAACCAATACTAAATGAACTCCACGTCACCCCCAATGCACAGGCTAATGGATATCTGAACTCCGTAGCTAAGTGGATAACCTGGTCGCGTTTGAAGCGGACTGTACTGGGTTTGAGTAGATCCATTTGCCCAGTCCTAAATAGGACGAAACCTGCGCCTTAAATTCCACTGCAAATAATTACTCATCTCTGCTTATAGATGATAATGACTACTTACTATTTATAGGGAAAATTAGGAAAACGGTTAAAACAGTAAAAACAAATGAGAAATTAGACATTTCATTTATTGTTTTTCAAAATGAACTTTACGCATTGATTGATTAACTATCAAAATTCTGATATCATTCAATCTCTAATGTCTAGTTCATTTAAAGTATATTGCTTTAACAATGTAGGTAAAATTCGGAAAGTAATCCCCCAGAGCTCTATGTCACCTTAGTCAATGATGTTATAGAATGAGACATTAAAATGTTTCTTTTCCCATTCTGATAACTAACTAAGTAAGGTGTTGCTTGAAAGAGAGCACCCTTTGAGCATCTGACTGAATCTGTTCTATTATGATGATAACACTGATAAGTACCTCAAAATGAGGCAATCAATCATGTTATTTTACTTACATCTAAACTACGCTGTTGAACCAAACGACATGAAATTCGTTCTGCAGCTGTACGATCTACAACAGACGATCGTGATTCATGATTTTTACTCATATTTGTATCTTCATCTAATTCACCTGGTCTACAAACTCCATTTTCATCACGAATAAAAGCACGTTTCTTTTTTGATTTTTCAGCTTCAATTCGATCATTATCATCTTCTTCGTCAACTGATTCATTAGTTTGATGTTTTGTATCCAAACTGTTACTTCTCTGAACTGATCAATATATTCATAAAAAGTAATATTTAGTAAATACGATCTAGATAAATGAAACTATATCATAAAAATTTGGTTAGAGTAAGACAATTGACTGCATTGTGCAAAATTACACACTACATATGTAAAATGTGTAAGTCATACGTTGAATACACAATTTGTATAACTTCCTTGAATAGTCTCTTCCAAACTTTATCATTCTTTTACTTCAGTTGCTAACTTCACTGTTTTCATCTTTCTTCACTTTCCTTAATTTTCTCTGTTATCAGTAAGAACCCTACTTCTAATTTCCGATATATACTACTCATATATATACTACTTAAAACTAGCACACAGCATGGAGGTGTTTGCGAAAATTTGAGAAACACCAAATTTTAATTGATGTATGAATTCGTCTATGGCAACTCTATTTTCCCTTTAGAATGATATGCCTTTCATGGAATTCGACTGAGATAGTTCCATCATCAACTGTTCAACATGTACATGAACTGATATTTTGGAAATATCTTTTTTAAACTTCCCTTCTGTACTAGGAGATTTGTTTCATTTTCATTTCCATCATTAAAACTATCTCAGTTAGCTATCAAAAAATTTTATTCTTTATCAACATTATAGTCTGATCATAGATCATTTGTAATGCAGTACACAGATTTCTATAATTTTACAAGTTTCCTGTAAGTGATGGACACCGAAGTTCATCCTGGAACTAAAACTTCATTGGAAAAGTCAGTAGCTATATGGAATTAGTACTTGGTTGGATAACGTGATGACTTTAGGAGCGAGCACAATCATTTAAATACTGATTTTGATACATACGTAATAATATCACGTGTAAGAGAAAATGCATATAGTTACGGCAAGAACATATTGAATGTAGTTCACCTAAATCGATACAAAGGATATAAATGTCACACTGAATGAACATTCCAACCAGTCATATTAAACGAAAGTCATACTGAATTGATGAAAGAATATCGATCTAAAATAGGGTTAGCTCTGAACCTTATCATATAGCAGATATATATTAACATTTTTAGGCTCAAGTCACACTTTAAATGTGTGAACATGTGATCTTAGCCAGTTACGCAAATGAAATTAGACGGGAATTGAGTTCAAAAATGAGATCTAATGGTTAAAAGCTAAACGGCTTTTCATTATTCGTAAAACTTCGATATAAAGTATACCATAATGGTGACGCATGAAACCCGTATGAGCAGTCCAAAGTCCCTATCAGTCCTTATTCCTGCCTAGCGCCGCCTGTTAAGTACAGAACATCAATAAAAGCCTCCTCAATATGAATCATGTATTTCAAAAATACTGGTTTTATATGCAAACCAAACAGACCATATCGTACCATAAAATAGAAAATAACATCTGTAAAAGATTCAACCACATGTGGCTGTGAATGTGTGAGACTGTAATTAATAGACTGGGCTTAACTTAAGAATGGTAAACCGCATAATAATAGTTCATGGGTCAAAATAAAGCTTATAAAACGAGAAACACTAATAAGAATGATTTAGTTACTTAACAATTATACAATAAAAATATATGTATCGTATTATTCCAGATATATATCATAACAGTTACCATTCATAATTGTCGTCGGAATATAACATGGAGTTCCACTGAGAAGCTGTGAACAGTTTAGTTTAATCATATCAAGTATGTGGCAGGTATCTACTTTAGATACTGCAAGGCAGTCATGCTAATTGCAGTCATACATCAACATCTTTGGATTTTGGTTCAGTGGTCTAGAAATTAAACGTTTGAGAATGAAACTGAATGTTTTCGGTTTAATTCTCGGGTGTTGTCATGAAATATTTTTTAAATTCTATTAAGATCACTTCTATTCTCTTTCATTTTACAAGCAATGTCGGTAATAGTTTGGAGTTAGATATATTAACCACTGGATGTAAACTCATCGGTTTGACGTTTAAGTGCTCGACATCATGTCTGCAAGTGCTTACCAAGTGTGGCAACTTGAACGGATGCATACATGTGCCTGGTCCTACGTTATGGCTGACTGACTGAGTGAAATTAGTGTACAGTGTTGATCGGTATATTACGAAATGAAATACAATGGATCAGTAGACTAGTTATATTCAAGTCAACATGTCCATCTTGTGTACAGCTAATGACTGTTCCTTCTCTAACATTAAATATTGAAGTTATGAAATTTAAAGACGAAATTGTCTAATAAGACTGTAGATGTAATGAACTTCAATGTTCTGGTTGCCTTGAATAACAATGAAAATTCAAAATCAAACTCTAGGACGTGTCTACGTCAAAGCCTAGAATTATTATCAGAAGTAAAACAGTTGACAATGTCAAAAACTTCACACATACTGAATGTTAAGCTAACCGGAGTAATAATCAGCAGAAATTGGGACTATGCTTCAGAAAACCCAGTTGTGTTTCGTCAAATTAAGACACTTATGACTTATGGAATTTGTCAGTTCGTCAATCAAAGGACGAGTGTAGTACTCAACAGTTTGATCTAATCTTATTTATCACTGTGAAACATGGCCTTCCGTAATACAACATATTCGTGACTTATTAGTATTTGATGTCAGATGCCTTTGAAGTAATACTTAAGTATGTTGGAATGATTAAGTGAACAATAGTGAGGTCAAAAACAGGTGCTGTGTAAGGTGGTGAATCTGTTAATGAGTTAGTAAATGTCGATCATTTGTGGTTGTTGAAACATGTGTGACCAACTATCTCAATGTGTGAGGTTGTGTTGAATTTGAGTAAACTGGTGCATAGTTGACAGTGGTTGAATCAAGCTGTAGCATCAATTTACAAACTGATTAATAGTTTTCTTTGAGTGACGATTTTCGACATAGTCTATGTGAGAGTTGTCAACTGGATAACGGTAAACATTTGTTCTAGTTGTTTTTTGACATTCTCCAGTGTATTCACTATATGAGCTCCCCCAGATCAGGAGTTTCCAAATTCATGTTTACTTTCATATCTTATCTAAAAATTCCCAGTCTAACGCAGTACGGTATATAACTAGGGTTTCAACTTTGGAATTTCAGATTTCGCCACTAGCGCTTAACTTCCACGGCTTTACATTTCATACTTGAATTAATTTGCCACGTAATGAGACTATCACCAAATCCCATAAGTGAGTAACTACTGAACATTTAACTAAGTTTAATTTTAAAAGTTACGGTTACTGATTAGGACTCTTGTAATCATCTCACGAGATTAATCACTGATGAGTAAGTGATTTTTGTTAGTATGAAGAGTTTCCGGAGTTTTTTTATCATCATGCTGAATGACCTGATGTATTTGTCTAAATTATGCATAATTTTTATTTACAGTTGTCTTGATGTTATTTCCGTCAGAATGAGGGTTTTCGGAAATTGTAGTAATTTAATGGTTAAATTCATAAGTCGATTTAAGCTAGACCACTATGGAAAACCTGTTTTCTGTTCTTATGAATAAATTCATTGAATACGCTTATAACTGAGTGTTGTGTCAGAATTTTCAGGTTTTAACCATGTTTTTATATTGTTTCATATCCGTGTGTCCTTGATTCCACAGCTAACCACCACCTATCTCAACTTATAGTTTCTACATTTGTTTGACATAATTATTAAAGATGACGTTTGTCATAGTTCAAGTGTCAATAGTGTTCAAGCCTTCCGTTTATTCGAAATATACAGAAAAACCAAAATAAAACCGTTCTAAACAAATTAATAACCAAAGTCGGTCAGTGATGTAGTCTAAGAAATTCTACTTTCAGCTTGTTATGATATGTGCTGCGCTATACGGATTTACTTACTTCTCTGAACCTTTCAAGTCTAAAATAGAATGGAACATTCAACCCTGGTTCTACTAATAGCCATTATCCAAATTTAATATACACTATTTTAGTTCGAAACAAAGACAATGTAGATGTCAGTTGTTTATTAGCTCTTCTGAAGAATAAAGCTGAAAAAAGGACAGGTTATCATCCCTACAAAAAAACCATTCAACTAGGGGTGAGGATAAACTCCACTCTTGTTCACAATTTTGACCTTGCAACTGATAGTCTACTAAAACGAAGCGGAAATCATTATTTACACCAACATGTTGATTTTCTTCATCTTACTTTTCATTCTCTACAGTAATATTATTGTAGTGAATAAAACACGGGTTGGGGACAACCGAATGTATTTTAGCATAACATTACAGAATATCTCATTAAAATATGAGAATCATATAGTGAACAGTTAATTTGCAAAATAACAATCAATTGTCTCAGTTTGACTGTTTCTTCCGCAAATATCCGTCCATAGTCTCTGATTATAAATTTTCATGCATTTTCGTACCAATTGCGTGCCGTTCCCGTTCTCTCTCTTATCGATCTTCTACTGAAATACATTCAATACTTGACCATCACTATATACTACTTATATAGATATCAGTAACCCACACCACGCTATTATCAATCATTAATTCACATACTAATTCATAATCTCTAACTACCACCAAATTTGTCAAATTACATATTCAATTAAAACATACAAATAAAAAACTAGACATCAACAGATAGATTGATAATAATATTTATCACGATTGTATCCTAACAACAACAACGAAAAAAAAAAGGAAGATAAAAATTTGATTCCTTATCCCCCTTATTATGATTATGACTATACAGAATGAATATCAATTTTTCCTAAACATTCTCTAATTATTCGATTTTACTGAAGGGAAACAGTGTTAGAATTAAATTTTAATCATTTGAAATAGTGAATGATCAATTAATTGTAACGAGGTAAACCCAATTTTATTTGTTAATCTGTATGTATATCAAGTTCCCTATTTTTTCATTTCAATATATCAAGTTTTAATAAATAGAAAAAAAGATCATTGGAATTGATAATTACAATAGTGATATTACTGAAATTAGTAATAACAAAAATAATAATATTCATTTTGTATTGTTTATTTGCATCTTCCAATTGATGTTTAGGACTACAACTGATCAATCTCTCTTAGTG